GCCGCTCTGGCTCCTCAAACCCACCCGGCATATGGAGAGCGACATCGGTGGGAGATTCGGGTGTGTCGCGAGCGTCCACATTGCGCTGGACACCAGAAGCTCCGTTGGCAGCCACGTCACGGGCACGGGATGGTCTCTCGCGACCACGGGACTCATCCTCTTCTTGTTGTTCAATTGCGCGAGAGAAACGTCCATGTGGTGGCGACGAACGCGTATGATACTTTGGATCGTCCGTGACAAGTGATGGATCAAATCCAGCGGCGGCAGTAGCCGCAGCAACCGTAGCCGCGAAAGCGATGTCTTCACCAATACCCTTACCGGAATCCTCTTTGGGCTTTCGCTCCCGTCGGTCCCGATGGCGAACACGGTCGTGGTCAATGGAATCATGCTCGGAGTCACTTGACGGAACTTCATACTCGTGCGTTTCGTGCTCACCCCACGACACGCGCGAGAAGGTCACAGGCCGTTCGGGGCTCGGGCTCTCCTCTTCCCGGGCCACTTTTTGCGGCCGGGGAACAGGAGACGCGGCATCTCTAACAGATCCGGTCACGCTGTGCGGAGGTGTCGGGTCGGTATACGTTATGTCGGGAACCTTCCAGGGAACACGGCTGAGGAACTCTGGGTCGGGCTCAATGGGACTCTCTGGTCTCTCACTGGCAGGCACCACCTCGATGATCGTCGGCATCACGCGAGATTCACGTGAAGAATCATTGGAACGGCGTCGTACCTCTTTAGGAGCAAAGAACTCGGCGTAATCCTCATACTTCGGCTTCGTGGGGGAGACATCTCGGCGGGGAGGCTTCTGAGCAGGCTCTGGCTCAGGAGACCAAGGCGAATAAGAAGGATAATAACGGCTATCGCGTGCACTGCTTGGCGCGGCGGAGAAGGCAGCCGTTGCTGATTCCGGCTCCGAGCCACGGCGTCGTTCAGCACGGCGTTTCTCGCGACGCTCATCGTGGCGTCGCTGGCTACTAGCTTCGGAAGAACCATCATTCGAACCTCTGCCAGATAACGCTGAGACAGCGGCAGCGGCACCTATCGTGCCGACGGCAGCAGCCCCCATCCAGGATGAGGAGTTGTCTCCACGCGAGTCCCGCTGGCGTTGCTTGTCACCTTCATCCCAAGTGCGTCGATCATGCTCGCCTTCCCCACGCCGCCACCTCGACCAGCGGTCATCCTCTGGCCGTGTCGGTTCTTGTTCATTGTCAATGAGCTGGACTCCACCATCCAAGTCTGAACTGCGATTCCGTTTCTCAAGGCGGTCGGCCCGTCGTTCTTGCTCCTCCGTTAGGTTAAAGGAGACGGAGGCTTGGTCTTTGGCCGTCGCGCGGCGTTTCAAGCTGGAAATGGTCGATCCCTCCAGTGGCTCCGTGGGAGATGCGGGGAAGGTGTTGCTTCGCCGATGCAGACCATCGATGCGTCCCGGCGCGTCGCCGGGATCCACATATGCCGAGATAGGCTGGTCCCAGTCCCGGGATCTGGGGTCCCGGTCACGCGGCCGAGACGTGTAATTGTCCCTAGACGTGTATCCCTCGAAGGGAGACTTGAACGGCGGAGGCCCGGTCGTCGGTGCGCTGTAGGCATGGATCGACTCGCCTTGAGAAGTGTAAACGGCTTGGGAGACAGGCGTCACGGGTTGCGGTTGCTGAAGCGGAATGGGACCAGGGCGCACAAAGGCCGGCTGAGAGGACGGTATCCGGACCGTGTCGTAGCGCGAGGGGTCGCTTGTTGGCACCGGAGCGACATGCTGCAGGCTTCCGGCACTATCGTGGCTGGCATGACGGCGAGAGGCGGCGGCGGCCAACGCGGCCGTTCCCAGGGCACCGACCCCGAGAGCAGCGGCCCCGGTCGGGAAGCGATCATCGGAGGAACCCGATCCGGTCCTCTTCTTCTTCTTTTTCTTGTCCTTCTTGCCCTTCTTATCCTTCTTGCTTCCCCATCGCCAGCCCCATTTCGACGTGCCCGAGTCGGAGGAGTCATCCGAACTGAACAGCGCACTGTGGCCGCCGAAGGCGAGGGCGGAACTGACACTAGACGACGACTGGTCACTGGAGTCCAGATCCTCCCAGCCGTCGTCGTTGGTCGCGGAGGAGGCATAATCGGATCGGCTCGTGCGGGACTCCTTGCCAAGCAGGACCTCCCCAGGCCGCCGGCTACGCCCATGGGGCGACGCCGCCAATGCCGTGGCCGCTGCGCCGAGACCCAGCAACTTGGCATCGACGTCGTCGCGGTCCTGCTTCTTGCCGCGCTTCTTCCGCGAGGCGGGAGGTTTCTTCGTGTAGCCACTCCCGAATGCGAGGTCGGCATCGGTGGACGAGGAGGAGGAGTTATTGAACGAGAATAGGCTTCGCGGCTTCTTCGCGGTGGGGCGTTTTCTGCGTTCCGAGGACGCGGTGAAGAACGAGCCGAAGGCGCCTCCGGTCGATTTCCGAGACGGATGGCCAATGTCGACGAAGGAAGAATCCGAAGACGACGATTTCCGACCCTTGGACTTCCGGGGCGACCGACTGCGGCTCCGGCTGTCGCTGCGCTGACGGGATCTGTGGACGGCGCCGGCCGCCGTTCCGATGGCGGCTCCGAGAGCCGCGTCGCGGAGGGCGGAATGGCGGTGCGGACGGGATGAGGAACGCGATCGGGAGCGGGAACGCCGACGGGGCTCCGCGTACCTCCCCTTGCTCACGTCCGAGTACGAGCTGCGGTCCAGCCGATCGTGCGACCGACGGCGGTACACGCCCCGGGAGGTATCGCTTTTGCGCCCCGAAGCCGACCCCCCTTCGCTATCATGCAAGCTCGGCACGCGGCCGGAACGGAGGCTGTACGTGTCCTCGAAATCCTTGGTGTTGAAGAGGGACTTGATCCCGTATCCGCCCAGCAACCCCGGGATCCACGAGCTTCGGGACGATCGTTTGCGATGTCGGCCTTCATCTTCCGACGAGGTGTAGCGGCTCAGCTTCTCGACGCGCGAGTGGCCACTGCGGCGGTCGCCCGAGTGTCGGCGCGGCTCGTAGTGATGCTTGCGCGGTGCATCGCGCGAGGTCGAGCCCGGCTCGAAGCAGTACTTGCAGACTCCGATGGACTCGGTGTAGTCCTCGAACATCCCCACGCCGTCGGGGTCCCGCCAAAAGTCGACGAACCGATCCAGTGGACCGCGTCGACGCTGGTGGAACGCCATGCCCCCCGACTGGAAGGACGGCCCGTGGTACAACTCCGCGTGGTGGGGATGCGACGGGTGCGCGGCATATCCGACCGCGCCCGCGCCCGCGCCATACAAGGCCGGATTTACGTTGGGCGGGTACATGGACGGACTCGCAAACGCATCGTGGGGGGCGTTTCCCGCTTGCTGCACGGGGTATGGCGGGGAGCCATGCGGGCTGGAGGAATGGTGGTGGTGATGGCTCATCATGTACCCGGCGCCCGCCGCCGCCGCCGCCGCCATGCCGACCGCGGCACCCGTCCCGCCGTGGGAATGGGACGGCTTCGTGGCGTGGTGGGATGCCATCGGCGGGGCGAACGAGGTAGCCGACGAGGGCGGGGGGAACATGGGCGAATCTACGTCCCCGACGCCGTAGGTCGCGGCTCCCGTCGACTGGACAGACGGATGGGAAGGATGCAGGGTGTCGGGAGGAGACGCCAACGGCGGTTGACCCGTGGGTTGCACTGCCGGCGCGCCCCCGTCCGCAGCATTGTCGTAGTACGCGGCGGCCGCCCCGACCCCACCCACGCTGCTGGGCTCCGGCGGCGGGTTGACGGCGGGCGACGCCGGCATCAGATGCGCCTGGTTGTTGGGGAGCACCTCAGGGGCCGCCGGACGGATCCCCGGCTGGTCGGCGACGGACTGTCCTTGGTCGCCGTAGTAATCGGCCGCTTCACCCGCCGGATTGGGCGGTCGATAGGGCTCCGTGTGGAGGGCCGGGAACTGTCCGGGGAATTGCTGCTGCACATGGGGGTCGAACGCGGCGGGACCGCTGGGCGACGCACCTCCTGCGCCTGTGGTCGGGATGGCGGTGGATATGGGAGGGAGGGTGACATCGGGGTGAGCGCGCTGTCGCTCCCGACGAGCGCTCGCACGGTCATCGGCCTCCCAGCGATCGTCGTCCGCCCCGGCTCGCCTGGTCCGTTCGCGGTCCGGACTAGGCGATCGCACCCGTTCGCGCCTGCGGGCGCTCTGTTGTCTATCCCGGTCGGCCGAGTCTCGATCGCGATATCTGTCCACGTCGTCCAAATCTCGATCGCGAGGTCTGTCCCCGTCGTCGGTGTCCCATCGTCCTGGGCGGCGTTCGATGATCACGCGGTCGGGTTCGTCCAAGACACCCGGGTCGGCGGTCGCATAGCTGGAGGCGACTGATTCGTCTGCGGCGCTGGCGGCATAGCGCTTGTTCCGACCGCTGGCGGTGGGATAGGTCGACAGGTCGCCCAAGCCTCGATCACGGTCGTCACCCCGTGAGGACTTGCGGCTGGTTGTCGACGAAGCCTTGGAGTCGGTTCGGCGGCGGCCACTTTTGGAGGAAGTGCTGCGGACATCGGAGGACGAGCGACTCCCGCCCATGAGGGCCCTAAACATAGTGGGCAGAGAAAGCGATCACCATGTGGGGTGGGATCAGAAGCGGGATCAGATCTGGATGATGAACGGGCTGGTGGGTTGAAGCCCGAGGTTGTTGAGTAGGTAGGATTAAAAGAAAAGGTAAAGGGAAGAGATGACAGAAAGGGATGGAATGAAGAATGATGGAATGGAAGAGATCCAGAAGTACAAAGTAGAGAGAGGGAGGGAGAAAACAGAGGAGGCTGGCAGAAGTCCAGTCCTACATTACCTATGGTTTGTTTTTAGAAGGCTGCCAATATCATGCTAGTATATATATAGTTAGATGGTTTTTATAATCCCTGTTCCAAACCGCTTCTTTCCTGTATTGTACTTTCAAGTTATCGTAACCAGTTTATTTACAAGGACCTTACGATAGGCCCCTGATTAGACGCTTGCATACTGATCAATCTGCTATCCAAATGGCATCATGTCTAGGATATCCAGAGAAGGCATTGATCTTCTGTCTCACGCTTGTCCAGGAATCTGATAGTTTAGGGTTGTGATATTACATCAGATGGGACAGGTTGCTATGGTAACGGACCAGGAGTGGTGATGGATTTTGTATGAAGAGTAGTAGGGCGAATATAGTACTAGGCCCGTCAACTAACTCTATGAGTACCTCCCCACCGTGGGTTATCTCACTCGTTGAACCAAGGGTCATCTAGGACCTCTCTCGCGGACGCTCTTGCGGACGGCTCAAACCGTAATAACCTTCCGATGATTTGTCCCAGCCTCGCTATGTCCTCCCTGGTCAAGTCGGGCCTCAGCGCGCAATCAAAGTACACTTCTTCCAGCCACCCCTGCAAGTTGGGACCGGTACTTTCGGTGAGCTCGCTACCCTCCGCATTCATCGTATCCCAGATACCTTGCCATCTCTTAGGCATGTCGTCAGTTGCTATCTCTAGCATTTGGCCAACGAGGATCCTGGGGGTCAGAAAAAAGGTGTCAAAAGGGGGCTGTCCGACGAAAAGCTCAAAAAGCTGTCGTACTCATAAGGTTAACCGTTGCGTAAACGTTAAGCGTCGGATGATTATACCTACCATACAGCCCATGCTCCACAAGTCCACCTGATAGTCAATGCGGTCATGGAATATGATTTCGGGCGCCCGGACAGGTAGAGGGGTGTGTAAAGTTTGCGGGACTACAGTGCGTAAGAACGATTCTCCAAAGTCGATGATCTTGATCGACTGCGTCGGTTTCCAAGAACGTGTCTGGTACGAGGTGGGCCTGACGATGTATTCGGGTATGCCAGGCTCTAGGTCTTTTCCGTCGGTCCTTCGGACATGGCCAATCTCCGGGTTTCCTAGCATCTCAGTAAACTGTTCTTCGGTCAAGCTGTCCATGGACGGCATAGTGAAGGCCAGATTGCGAGTATGTAGATCTATATTAGGTAAGAATTGTTTCAATGTGATGATTCCCAAGGGTGATCTACCTCCATGCCCGATCCTTTGTTGATGCAGACTATCGAGCCCGATAAGAGCTTGCTTGGCAATAGCTTTGGCGAGCTGCCCAGGCAGTCTTCCGGCCGGAAAGTGTGCATCAATTGTGTCCGGGATATTCGGCCCGAGAAGCTCATAGACTAGGCATTCGTGAGATCCATTTGGGCCTCTTAGATCGAAGTCATCGAGCAGATGCACCGTATGCTTGGGAGGAGGGAGATGCGATGCCAGCTCCTTCATCGTTTGGAGCTCTCGCGTTTCCCCCTCATGTTCCCTTTCTGCAACAGAAATCTTGACGGCAACATAAACCTCTTCTCTGCAAAGAAGCAGTCAGCTGGAGGTGCCGTGAGTTTAAGCACAGGTTCCACACAACCTTTGGTCTCTCGCTGCCCAGACAGTCGAGTACCCTCCCCACCCTAATTTATGCAGCACCTTATACCTTCCGGCTTTCAAGCAATCTCCCAAAGCGACTGGGTGGTAGCCACCTTGTCGGTAGCGATGAAGTGGTTCCGCATCAACGGTAGCAGTGTAAAGAAGATGATCCATCTGACTGGGGCCCGGATGGGTGGACATAGACTTGAACACCATGCGAAGTCGTGGGATACTTCTCGACGCGACAGGGCGTCTCAAGAGTATCCAGGTGCTTGACATTTAATTAGGACGGCGTCGTTGGTGCACATCACCTTGGATCATTCCAGAGTGTCCGACCGTCGACGCGCCCTGGAATGATGACGTGACAAGCTACCCGCAAATGACGGCCAATCACATGACCTATAGAAGCGCCCAGCACTTCGTCGCTCGCAAATGGATGGATAGCAGTGTTTGGGCCAAGATCGATGAAACAAGCGCTTATGCACTCTTCCAACATCGGTAATGCCAGTCTAAAGAAGTTCTGCGACATGGCGGCGCCAAAGAAGGCTCACAGAGCCTCGAGAAAAGATTATAAAAATCGGGCACCTGCTCCCCTTTGAAGATGTATTGGAGTATTAGGAGGTCACCACGCATTGACTGTTATAAATTCTGTGTTATACATCCAAGTCCCTTTCGTTCAACATGTCTCCTATTCCCCGAAATCTTGTCAAGCTCACACAACGGATTCGTAACCCTTCCTTGCGCAATCTCACCCTCAGTCTCATTGAAGACGCTTCCCAGAAGCCTGATCTAGCGCACTTCACCATCGCTATCCTCAAGTGAGGATAATGTTTATGACTATGTGTGTGTTTGAGGGAGACTGATATCTCTTTCCTTGTATCGCAGAAATCCGTCCCACACGAGCCATACTGACCTCAAGCCGCACGCCACTGCACTGTTTGCGACTGAGGAACAGTTCAAGAACAACAAGGCCCAGACAGCTCATATCTACCACGATGAGCAGGGACATTATACTGGCCATGTGCTGTACCAGGAAAGGGAGAATAAATCATCGGACGAATGAAATCCTCTAATAGTCGAATCCTGAGATACTGGGTGTTGCAATACAGCGTCTATAGTGTACACAAACCGCTATCAGGCAGTACCTATCAACGCTAGCTTATTCTTGAGTCACTTATTAGATGGGATTCCCGCAATAAAACAAGGGACACTGCATGGTATTTTGGATATTAGATCCAGGCTAGATCATACTAGGGACCAGGCATCACCAACGGAGATAGTATGTTAGTCTTATAACAAGAGCGCCACAATATCAAGCTGAAAGAGATCAAGCTATGCGTACCTTATTTGTTTGTCCTGCTTGCATGTTGAAAATGACCTTTAGCGCTTTGTTTACTTGTATCTACGATATCAACACACTATCAACGGGGAAAGAATCCAAGTCTTGGACATGATCTTCCTCATACTAGTTCCACTTGATTAAAGACTTAATCTCAGCAAAGAGGAGTACAAAAATGAATATATCTGTCTAAAAGCACTTTTTAGCAAGTCGTTACTATATCTACTCAGAATAATCAAAAGTTATAACTAATATCTGTGAATCAGGCCAGACCAGAAGCGCTGACACCAGTAATTTACACCAGTGTTAGTTATCCTGTGTTTTCTTACAATACACGTAAAGGCCCATACGCAGGGAGCATGAACGGCCTAACCACATATATACTAGCCCTCACTTAGCATGTTCTTAGAGACGAGGGCAGAAGTATAGACCAGTGGGAGCTTGTGTTGTTTTGCCGCCCAGATTAGTCGAGAGTAAACAAGCTGGGCAGCTGAACCGTGGGATCCTTCGACTCTTCCGACTTAGCGTTGGCTGGGGGAGGGAAGGAGAGGCATTGTTTGGGACTGGTTGCTCCAGACAATCAGGCTATCAGCCGCTCAGACGATCGGGTGGGTTTAGCGTCATCTAATCGATCGCGGTCGTTCAGCACAGTCCCACTCGGGGAATTCGGGGGGAAGAGAGAGAGAAAGAGAGAGATATCCACAAGTTAGATGACAGATATGCATGCAACTCGACAGTTGAGTTTTCCTCCTCAAACCACGATGATGAAAGTCCGAAGTGAGAGACAGAAAGTGAGGAGAGAGAGAAATCGCGGTGAAGAAAGCGAACGAGTAAGACTGGCTGGAGAGAGAGAAGAGTGGGGCGAGGCACGTGCATTGTGGCCAGAGCATGCACTGCATCAAAACAAACCATCATTTTATGACTTGCAGGGTTGATCTTGGGGAATCAATATAGCAAGATCCAGTTTAGAATAGAATGATATACTGTAGTGGATATGGATCGATCGAGCCATGATATCTCGTTCCATGGGTGGTATGTGGAGTGGAGCCATGGTTGCTGCCTCAGTCTTCTATCAACCTACCCAGATGCCTTAGGCCTACAATATTCAACAACTACTACATCAAACGGTTCAACGGCACTTGGCATGGGGCTTTCCTGACTGATATTTCGAACAATATCTACAAAGTAAAGATCCATATACAAATCAACCATAACAATAACCCAATCAACAGCAATTACTTAGAAAAAAAACATAAAAAAATCAATCCTCAGCCCTCATCAACCTCTCCAACTGCACCCTCAACGCATGCTGAAACCACCCCGGAAAACTCCTCAAATTCCTCGCCACCCACCCACTCGACCCCGGCACAACAACATGCCCACTCCGACCCTCAAGCACCTTCTCCACAAGCGCCTCCGCCACCGTCTCCGGATGCAGCAGCGGATTAAACCACGTATCCTCCGGCGTCAACCGACTGATCAGCGCCGTCTGCGCGAATCCCTGCGTAACCAGCACGGTGCGCACCCGCGGCGCACTATACCTCGTCACCAGCTCGGCAGCGAGCCCCTCGTGGAAGGATATCGCGGCGGACTTGGTGGCTGAGTAATCGACCATGTTGGGCGTGGTCGTGTAGCCTGCTTGGGAGGCTACCGTGACGACCATGCCGTGGTTGGAGCGGACCATGTGCGGGAGGAATTCCCGGGTGAGCCAGTAGTGGGAGAGCGTGTTGACTTCGAACTGGAGGCGGGTTTGGGATTCGCTAGAGCCGAGGATGGTGCGGCCGCTGCAGATGCCCGCGTTGTTGATTAGAATAGTCGGCTCGCCCATTGTTGTGCGGATTGTGGCTGCGACGTCTGCAATAGCCTCTGGGGCCGTAATATCACACTCGTAGAAGCGCACCGTGGCAGGAAGAAGCGCCGCATCCTGCGGTGCCTGAATATCCAAGATAGCAACCTTGATACCCCTATCGCCTAGCAGCCGCGCAATCTGTCTTCCAATACCATTGCTGCCGCCCGTGAGCACCACCACTTCGCGGTTCCAGTCATAGCGGTCCGAGACGCCGTTGTTGAGGGCGCGGCGGTTGAGGGCTGCGTTGGCGCGGCGGAGGACGGCCAGGGAGGCGAGTGCGTGCGCGGCTTGGAGGAGGCGGGGGTGTTGCTGGGCGAGGTTTTTTCCCTGCTCGGTGTAGTGCGCTAGGAGGACGAGCGGGACGACTTTCCAGGGGCTGAGGATGGTTCGTTGGAGGAGTTTGCCGAATACGTCGGCTGTGAAGCCTGATGGTGGAGTTAGTTGGGATGGATTGGTGGGTGGGTGTGATATGGTTAGGTAGGTAGGAGGTCCTAACCTTCATGGGAGAACCAGTTTGACTTGGACGGCATGGTGGGCAGCTGGAGTATTATCTTTCTCTCCTTTTTCCCCTGTCAATTTGCTTGAAAGAAATGCAACGGAGCAAGATGTTCAAATGAACGGCATATGCTCCATGCCCTATAAATGCAATCGGTAGTTCAAGCTATGAGCACCCCCTACTCCACCCCAAAATGCGGGGAACAGCGAGGATCCCGGTATCATGAGAAACCGAGGTACGGAGTCGTTCATCTTTACCTGACTGGCATCTTGGCAGTTCCCAAGTAGGTACCAGTACCTGGTATCTACCTAGGAAATCCTACGGACGAGTCACCTCTTAATTCATGAATCCCCGGGTTTATAGATATGCAGGTATTCATTGAGCTGTACGGTCAACCAGTAATTGCTTTCCCACAAAAGTTTCTGGAGATCCTGGATTCATCTCAATTCCCCTCAATATACTCGATGCGGTGGACTTCCGCCTCGATGCGCTGTAAATGCAACGAACACATATTCCTCCCATACCCAATCAACAATCCCAAATGTCCAAAAAAAAAGTATCCGGTCGGCCGGAACGATGGAATACATACAAAATAACAGACAACAGACAACGCCAACAAAACTCCCCACAAACATAGTCGGGGTAACAGACAAGCGATGAGAAAAAAAAAAAAGAATCAGATAGCCACCATCCCTTTCCACATGCAGAAAATGATTGATTGGACTCCACAAACGTCGGGAAATTCAGAACCGGGAATCTTGGGCAAAACCGAACAAACCACCATGCAACACTGGTTTTTGCAATATGCTGTATAATCAAGGGAACCTCACGCCAGGGTGTGCACAAAGCAATGGCCGGGAGCATCCATATAAGGCCAAAGTATCAACGGAAATGGTGAACTCGAAAGGGACACGGTCGAGCATCCATACACCAACCACGGTCCATTGCCGACTGACGCTCAACCTCCATAGTCGATGTTGGAAATACACGTTCGGCAAACGGAGGACATCCGCGGTGTCATGCAAGAAATGATCGGCTGAAGGAAAAACTCAAAAGTAAAAATCAAGAATAAAAGGCAGCAAATTTTCATCCATCCTAAGAAAAGCTCGCCGACGGCGGCTCCCGGAAGATTTTCTCATATATCTCGGTCAGGATGCGTGCATCAGCCCGCAGAGTAGGCGAAATGTTCTGGCTCTGCAGGAGGAAATTGATCGTCCGTCTCAGGAGACGGGCAAGAGTCTTGCGATCCACCAACTCAGAAAGGTGCGACATGAAGGTGGCCGACAGCACCAACATGTTACCGAATTGGCTATAGAAGTTGGTCAGTAATCAGGAAGGCAGTAAAAGTGGAACAACAACTTACGCGTGGGCAGTGCCAAAGATGTTGGTCACGACAGGACGGCCATTGATCCCATCAAAGGCTTCCGTGCTCGCAATCGCAGAGTCGATGCAAACGCGGCAGGCCGTTCGTAGCTTTTTCGGGAGCTCTCGGTAGGATTGCGCAGTCACAATCCCCGGGTTTGACGATGGGATGCTTCGGCTCGTCGGGCCCATGTCACTTGACAGACGCGTCATGTTGGTGGCGCTGTGTGTCAATGACGGAGAGACCTGTTGCGACTTGGTACCGGACGGTGCAGATCCGGTGGGGGAATCCAACGAGACCGCGCGACCATCCGGCGGTCCAATATAGTGCAGGGCGTGGTAGAGAAGAGGTCGATGAATGATGTACCGGGCGCCATAGTACTTCGCCCGCATCCGAGCGACATTGATATCATCCGACGGCGGATCAGTGTCTCTCCATCGCATGGGTTCCGGCAGGCTGTTACGCCACATCTCCAAATTCATGCTCAGAATTTCTTGGACGGTCGTTGTCCAGCGGCTCTGGCCGTGTTCTGCCGGAGACGTTAGCCCCACCACCAAAGCATCGCAAACCCAGTGCAGATCTTACTCTCAACTTTATATAGATCCGTGTGGACACGATTCAAGACCTTTCGCAGGTGGATCTGGGCGGAGTAGAAGAACATCATGATCGTGCTCGGGGCGGAGATTTCATTGGGAAGCGTGAGGGTGAATCGGCCTTTGGGCAACGAAATGCGAGCTTCGGAGCGCGAGATTCCGCTAGCTGGGAGATCAAGTTCGGCCAAGATGTCACTAAAGCATTGCTAGTTAGCGACCTCCATGATTTTTCCCCCATGCTTCTTTGCGACTCTTTTGCGACCAGATCGTCATCTTACCTTTCAAGCTGTAGGCATGTCCAGTAGGCAAAATCGTAAAGATCCTTGACCGGGCCATCGGTCATTTTCTCATAGCGTCTCCTGGATTAGCGGTCAGCAATCTTTCCTGGGTACGGGCAATGAACCCAGAAGACACAAAAGATAGGGTAGTAACATACGATCGGACCAGTACTTGGCAAGCTCGAGCAGCCTGGTAAATCCACCCGTGGCTTTGGAAAGGATGCGCCAATTGCCCAGCATATAGACCAGCCAGCAAGGCGGCTTGGACGTGTCGCAGCCCGTTGGATCCTTGGAGACTCCCGAGGATTTGAGTGGCATACGCGTAATAAGCCAATCCGGGGATCTTGTCCAGGTTCCGTAATCCCTGGTTGTCCGGACGCCCGGTGGCGTTATTGCGACCGTCCGCCATTGAAGACGCGTACATGTAGGGCTGCGAGACCGAATCGGAGCGGTCAGGCGACAGGATGTTGCGGGTCGTGGGCCCAGGGATATACTGTTTGAGATAGTTTGGAGGCTCGTCCGTCACGGGGCCAGGAATGGGACCATGGCGAACCTGGCAGATACTGCCCAGGGCAAATACCAGCAGGATAATAGCGTTGTCGACCGACTTCTCGATGGGTCGATCGCCGGCCTGCTGCGCCATCATGCCGGCTGGAGAGGGCACATCGCACGCTGCCCCTTGTAACGTTTCGCAGGAGCGCTTGCGTTTGGCCCCCCGTGGCGTGCCCACGAAGCTGCCGCTGTTCATCATGGGTGCCGAGGGACTCTGGTGGCGGTGGCAGTAGATCTTGACAAACTGCCGGACCTTGGCTTCCAGATCGTTTTGGTCGAGGAAGGGGTGCAGTTTATGGACATCGTCCATGTAGGACTGGTGGTAACTGAGAATGGTTTCCGCTTGCGCCGTGAGCACACCAAAGTCGTCCACGCCATTGTCGGCCAGTCGCTCCTGGTGTCCGTTGGCGTTGGTGTTGGCGTGGGCGTTGGCGTTGGCCATGTTGCTCCAATTGCCGCTCGAGGGACCATTTTTGGGGTAATTCGTCTCCCACTCAGGATACTTGTCCACCGATGTGGTCGTCACGGTTACGTCCTCACTCGTGTCGTCGCCTTCCCCACGCCCATAAACGCGGATCAAGCCGCGTTCCTCTTCCAATTTCATCACATAGTCTTCGTCGTACTGGTAAGGAAGGAGTAACGCCTTGATAGATGGCCAAAGAAGCAACTTGTGGGCCGCGGTCGTGTGCTCCACTGGAATGGAGAGCTCGCCTTCATGGCCGACCTCCAGGCCTTCGTCTGTGACGGGGCCCGGCTGATCGGGGTCTTGAGTCACCATCACCGTGCTTTCCTCGTTTTCGGCCTTCCGCATGACCTCCGGGAGTTCTTGCTTCAGGAGTCGTGAGACGGTCGGTTTCGGTGCCTCGTGGATGACCTTGGCTTTCTCGGGGCCGCTAAAGTACTTCTCCATGGTGTTCCCAAACACCACCTGCAGGCCGTGGAACTGAGTGATCCGGTCGTCCATCCGATCCTCCATTTGCTGTATCCGATCCAGGATGAGCTGCATGGCCTTTTCTTGCCTGCGAACCGAGGTCAGTGTGCGTCACTCTTCGTGCCAGGGTCGATCACGAACTTGTGCGGAGGAACTTCTTTGTAGACACAGACCAAGCCGTTCTCCTTGCAGTGACTACAGGAGGGACGTCCTTCATCACATTTTGCCTTTCTCGCTCGACATTGATCGCAAGCCTTTCCACCGCGGGAAGTTAGACCATGTTCTCCCCTTGATAGTCCACATCACACCGCCAGGGCTAGCAACTTACCTGTTGGGCTCGGGCCGCCTTGCGTTGACGGATGCCAAACGCCTGGTTCTGGTAATATCCGGAGTCGTACGACGTGGGGGTATGGGAGATTTGGGGCACCGGAGTCGAATATTGCGTGGGAGGGAGTGAATGCGCCGGGAGACCGGGGTCCCCGTTCCCATGCGGTTCCTGGGGAGGAAATGGGATGCGCTGGCGGAAATCGGGGGGTGCGGAGTGAGGGGGCGCCTCATGGGGTCCTCCGTTCATGGCGCGAAAGGTTGGATGCGGGGGAGCTGCTTCTGTCGGCGTGTGGGAAGGGCCTGGCAAGCTGGTCTGTCGGGCATATCGAGCATCGGGGGGTTGTGGTAATTCTCGGTTGGTCATGACGGGATATCCGGGGGGTGGGATGGGTGGTTGAGGAGCGCTGGATAGGCGACGTTGCTCGGCGGATGGACCATCGAAGGGGTAGGAGGGCCGCCACGCGGGCTCGTACACCCCCGAGGCCAGGCCATGCGTCACCTCGGGCGGCTGGATACGATGCATTGACGGCGGCGGGCCTGAGAAAGAGGGAAGGGGTTTCGGCTTGTCGTCCGGCGAAATAATTTCCATAATCCTCGGGCCACTGCTGCTGTCGGGAACCCCCCGGTGTCGCAAGTTCGCTGGGAACGGGTGATTCAGTGTACTAGACATACAGTCACGAGAACATGGCGGTTTTTCTGCCCTCGTAGAAAGTGACCGGTGGCGTCGATTCGTTCCACCGCGCGACGAATGACCCTCGAAAGAGCGATCGGCTCCCTAACGGCGGGCGCGGAGTGAAACGGTCAGTTGGCGGATTCCGGGTTTTTCTTTGTTACGTTTTCTTCCTGCCGCCTGCCCCGATGACTGTCTATTGATTCCGCTCGATTTTGTTCTTTGAACTTCCCCGCCACTATTCGCACCGGTCCGGAGGTGTCTGGTACGCGATTCCAAGGCACGGTACTAGGTAGCTGGTGGCACAAAGAGGGGTGGGTTTGGTCAGCGGATAGGCCAGATAAAGGCAGCGAGGCGATAGCTTTCCAATAGTTAGCTTAGATTAGGAAAGTAGTGGACGCGAGGGTAAGCGACAGTCGAGCGATCGGCCAGAAGCTCTAAAGACAGAGGGAGGTAGCCAAAAGCATTGAGACAGCAACAAGCAGATGGAAAGGGTGGGATGATGGTAAATCTGCGCGCAGAGATGTGGAAGGAGTCAAGCTAATCATGTAAAAAAGAGGGACAGAAGAAAGAAACCCCCGAAGAAAACAAAAAGACGAAAAACGAAAAACAAAAAACAAAAAATCAATAATGAAAAATAAAAAATAAAAAATAAAAAAACCCAGGGCGGTGGTAAGAAGGATAATCGGGCATCCAAGACTAACTATGAGAAATGGCACTAAGGACTGGAGTATAATTATACAGCGGGCAAGAGGGGGAAAGGATGGGACGAAAGTGATCCACGGCGACGCGCAGAAGACCAGCAGAGTGGGCACTTAGGAGCTGCTAAGTACCTAGTCGGCGTCCCTAGTAGTAGCCGACCAGGTAATTAAAAATAAGTCGGTGCCTCTGGCAGATCCAAGCCAGGATCAGACTCTCTCAGTCTCTCTCTGTCTCTGCCCGTCACTGTCGACAGCCGGTCCCTAAGTACCAAGTACCAGTACCAGTACTAAGTACTAGGTAGTAGGGACACAACCGGTGGCCGTTACAGGTCCGTGGGCAGAGGTAGTGAGTGGACTTGTCTTGAACAAGGTAAGATGAGCAAAGACATGGGTCAAAGGGAAAAAGGAATCAAAGAAAATGAAAATGAAAGTCAAAGACTCCAACAACTGTCAGGCATTGATAGATGACCGAAAATGACACCGAAAAAATAAATACCGAGAATAAAAAGAAAAAAAAAAAAGGCAAAATAGCATGAATCAACCAGAAAAGACCAGATGCGAATAGAACAAAACAAAACAAACACACGCCCCAGGCAGAAGAAATCAAGTCAAATCAATCAACCATAAGAACGGCAATAAACTGGTAGCAATGATAATAATAATAATGATGATGGTGATGATGATCAAGGTCAACCGTACCAATGCAACCCAAGCAAGACAACACCAGAACAGGGGGGAGGAGAAGGAAGAGGGGGCTGGTAATAGCGTCGAGATGAAAGGAAGTAATAGTACGTACGCCGAGAGTTGGCCCAAGGATAAAATACGATGGGCGTTTGTTTGGCACAGCCTTCCTTCTCCGATCAATCGGGGAGATAGAGAGCTAAGCCAAGCTGTCGGGTCGTTCGCGGCCAGTCCAGTCACTAAGTACGATAGATTCTCTCCCAATGTCGATCGAATGACGGAGGGAAGAATTGGCGAAGGGGAATTCCGGATATGATCGAGACCCGAGATTCGATCACTGCAATCCACGACGGAGGGGAGAGATGAGGGGAGGGGAAAGAAAAAAGAAAAGAGAGAGGATGTCAGTAAGAAGTAAGAAGTTAGAAGTAAGTAGGTAAACCTAAACCAGAAGCTGTCCTACGAGAATGACGCCAGACAAGACGGGAGGGTAGAAGAAGACAAAGACGAGAGAGGAGAAAGAAAGAAAGAAAGAAAGAAGGTCAGAAAGAAAAGAGAAGGAGAAGAATGACGGAGAGTGGAGGAGGGGAAAGCCGGCCGATTCAACGGTCAGCTTAAACTCGAAAGGGCACCTGTTTTTTTTTTTTTTTTTTTTTTTTCAAGGTCTCTCCCGCCTTGACCCGTCTGGACTCTGGTAGGGGAAGAAGATAGATGGGAAGTTGGAGGTTGGAACTTGGGAAGCTTGGGAATGGGAAGGTGGGTAGCAGATCGGAGTGGTCAAAGTATTCACTATTCAGTTCATGTGGGGGGGAAGGGAAGTGGAAGGCGATCCAACTAGGTAAGATGATGGGGTATGGAATAGTGGAATAGTGGAATAGAAGGGAACTAGAGAGGAGAATAAGAAGAGAGAAAGAAAGAAAGAGGAGAAAGGAAAGAGAGAGAGAGAGAAATGATGGTGAGCAGGAAGATCATCGATGATACTGTTGATTGATTGATTTGACTGATGGGAAAGCTGCCTGTCTGGCTGCCCCTCTTTTGACTGAACCCCGATATTATTATTGATTTTACTGGTTTATTTATTTGATTTGTTTATTTTCGATTATCATACTTTATTCTTGTTTTATTTTATCTATTTATTTTGTTATTTGGTTATTTTATTGATTTATGTTCTTTCCCTAGAATCCATATTCATCCTCGACAATAATGAGGATTCCTATTCCTGTCATCTGATCCAAAGTAATAGCGTGACCCTCTGAAGGGCAACATGCCAGCAAGATGGATGGACGGCGGTGATCAGGGGAACAAACTACGGAGTATGTCCTACATCTTATCATCCTGGGATTTCTGATCCATAATTTCCTCTCTCAATCACATCCATCCACTCTTTCGTACATACTCGGTACATCGGATGCATCCTCGGATTGTTTCCATGGTACACCTCCATGGGACGGGGATTGGGTCCAGGAAGTCAACTGGCAAGCTATGCCAGGATCTTGATTGCAGGATTCACCAAAACAAAAGGAAGGTCAAAACACGACAAAGAAAGAACAGAAAGGGAAAAGAAAGACAAAGAAAAAAAGAAACAAAATACAAAATCGACTGGTCGCTTTTCCTCAACCCTTCCTCCGAGTTCAGGCCTTAGCGTCAGAAACTAGGGGGAGGAAAAGAAAAAAGAGAGAAAAGAGGAAGAAAGAAAAGTGGATCTCCGACTGGAGCTGATGCTGGGTCAGGACTAGGCGTGAGGATCATGAATTGAGAAACCCAACCAGCAAGCGGATTCCCCAAGTTATACCCAAGTATTGACTTGGTAACTTTGGGAAAAAATCATAAATGACTTCAATTTCCTAACCGGTCGGCAGGGGGTGGGGAAGGTGTGTGTAAGAGACCCGCAATCAGCTCTCTCGGATACTGGCTCTGTCGGTTCAATGATTTGCAGAGCGCCACATGGAGACCAATGAAAGGTAAAAAAAATATCAAATCACTTTGACCATTCAGCTGATTACTTATTATTTATTACTTATTACTTACTACTTACCCATGGGGAAAGGAAGAAACGGGTGACATTCATACCCCAGATTACTTACAATATCGGAGAACGGTTGAGATTATATCAGATGGCAACTATACTCCGTACTAGGTACCTGATAAAGATGAGATGTACCTCCAGACCCTTACCGATCGTTTGATCCTTCTCCCATGAGAGCTGGCCAGGGTGTGGTCGGTGCCCAAAATCAGGAGGGGTAATGTACGGCAGATTGGAGTGACCTGTACGTGTACAGAGTACGCAGTACAGCAGGATCAATCGTGACCTTGGAGGATGCTATCGTCTTAGGTATGTTAAGCCTAAGGTAGGATTGGACGTGGATACAAGACACTAGGAAATATAATCTCTCTCCCAGCCACCCAGCCACTCAATCAGAGAACAGATCAAACCAAACTACGGAGTATCTGATCATCAGATCATCAGATCAAAAAGGAGAAGCATTGTGAAACAGAAATGGATCAGACAGTCGATCAGTGCTCATCAAGGGCGATGACCTCACGATTTACAGATAAATACCTCCCATCAAGCTTCTGATTCAGTTAAACCCTATTGGCAAGGGGTTCTTCTCTGGTATGTATGTTCCTCATCATCTCGATGTGCCGGAGATCTAAACATCCATCCATCTATCTCATTTTGGATTGATTGGATGTCAATCAACTCCCGATATCAACAACCATGGTTATGCATGACCATGACCCATTTTGTTATGGAGACCCTGACGTTCCCCAGCCTCCAGCCCGACTCCATCGAAAACAAGGGGAATTAATTAATTAGTTAGATGGTAATATTATTATTGATGTGAATATAATTTTTGGGAGAAGAGGTACAGATTGCAGACGCAACTCCTGCTCAACCAGCCCAGTGCGATCGGAAGACGGTGAGAATCACGGCGGTTACCCACCTATGGGGTTGTTCGTGTCACGACTCGGCGGCTGTACTCCATTTGCTTCTCATCTGCCAGAATGATCGGACTTACGGAGTCACTGCATAATTCAGGGACAAAGTTCAAGGAGGCAATCTAGACATTCCACAGTCCAGGATCAGATAGAAGGGATGTATAAGATCAGAAGCTTTATCTAAGTTTATCTTATTCCATCTTATTTTATATTTTTGTTTTTATTTTTTATCTACCTGGGACAGTATCCAGTTGGAGAGCCCACCCAGTTGGAGAATGAAATCACCCGTTGGAGACACCGCTGAAGAAGCCAGACCCTACCCCATTGCGACACACCGCATCGTCCACTCCCCAGGTCATACAGGGAGAGGGTATGAGATCATTACAAGGAGGGGTCCCTGTCCCGTCCGTCCCTGTCAAAGCTGAGGAACCCGACTTACATACATACGTACATGCTTGGTATGTACGACGTACGCACCGACCGGAGTACGGAGACCGAGACTGGAACTGAGACTGAGGCAGGTACCTACATGTGGGCAAGGATACATCAAACATTGAATTGTAACTTTGGTAATTCAAGAGTTTACGGATTACAGATATGATTTAGAATTATATAAGCCCTCCCGCAAGCCCACACTACCCACCGCCACGCCAACGCGCCAGCTGTCCCTGGTTACTTCAG